CTAAAGTTAACAAAATAAATGATTACGACAAGAATTTGGTTCGAAATATTGAGAAATGTAATAAAAAACTATCCACAGCTAGAAATTCTATAGATTTCATAAATTAAATCATTAATTATGGTCTTTTACCAGCATATACATTCATATACCACACACACACACACACACACACACATATATATATATATATATAAAAATGTCTAATATATATATATATATAATATATATATATATATAATATATATATATATAAACTATTACATTTCTCAATATTTCGAACCAAATATATATATATATATATAATATATAATATATATACCGCATTTTCCGCATTGTTGAGTTTGTAACTAAGTTTTTCAATTTTTCGAACAATTATTTTATCGATATCATTCAATTTATTAAAATTAATAATAAAATGTCTAATTATTTTAGACTGCATTTTTCATATGTACATTAACATAAAAGCTTTTTTCGACAACCTTTACCATCGTCAGAGTAATATAGTTTGTGATATTGTTATATGTAGTTCATCCGGTATTTATAGTATTTTTAACAAAGGAATTCTATGTTCCATTGTTTCTTTGTGTAAGTAATTTTTTTGTTGGTAGGATCGTTACAGCCTGTTGTTCTCAAATTGCTTACATTATGGTTGTAAAAAAAACACTTTGGCATTTGAGTTTAATATTTCCCTTGTTATTTTTATTTGGTATGAATCCATTAGATAATTTTTATTGCACCATATTGTGTATGCATTGTTAACCTTCTTGATAAAGTCGTAGTAGTAAATCCAATATATTTTGTGTTTCGGTGCCTACAATCACCGATTTTACAATCAACAGAATATACTAGATGACTGCTCTTTATTATCGATTCTGGTTTAGTATTGTAATTATTTTTAAAAACAAGGGATGAAGTTTTGTTTTTCATGTAATAAATCCTAAGTTTTAATTTATCATTTTCATTAATAGTTTTTACATTACCGTTTACAATCCTTTTTATTATATTATTTTATTTACCGAAAAAGGATCACTGCTTACAACTCTCCACATTGGAATCTATGTTTGTGTTCGTCTAAATTTTAACCTAAGACACAACAAAAATAGCATGATGCTTGAGAAGGCACTCGACAAAAATGTTTAGAAAGATTGTATCTTAGGGAGGGTGTGCATGATAGGAAAAAACAAACCCGAAACACTAAGCACCCGAAAAGCCCTAAATAGACGCATTTTATAACGGAGTAACACCTACAAACGCCGATAATAATAATGACTATATATATACATACATATACTTTTGAATGGCTCTACTTTTGACAAGGCTAGAATTATGGCTGGTCAAAAGTGAGTTGGGCTCCGCCTGGTTGAGAGCGCTACCCAACACCTCCTGCGGCACTAGATTGGATGACTACTGTGTTCGCGTGAGCCTTGGTTTGAGACTCGGAGCCCAGATCGTCACCGAATACGAATGCGCATGTGGGGCAAGGGTTGATGAACTTGGATACCATAGCCTTTCTTGTCGTCTAGGTCCTGGAAGACAAGCCAGACATACGGCTGTCAACGAATACCTGGTACGATGTTTTCAAAAGGCTGGTATCCCGGTTATAAAAGAACCCATGGGTTTGATAGAGGAAGGAGCCTTTAGGCCTGATGGTTACACTATCAATATGGTTACACTCAGGGACGGTCCCTGGCTTGGGACGTTACCTTACCCCACACTATGGCTGACCGATATATCGGCTACACTTTAGTTGAGGCGGGCACTGCTGCCCTTAAAGCGTCCGATTTCAAAAATGAAAAATACGTTTCATTAAACAATTTAAGCAAAATATTTCAACCCATTTGCATTGAAACGTTCGGACCAACAGATAAGCACACATCATTATTTATTAACGAATTAACAAGAAAAATAGTTAATATAACGGGTGATCCTAACGAAGGCAATTATTTAAAACAAACTCTTTCACTTTTATTACAAAAATTTAATTCCTTTTGCATTCTGGATGGAGCTGCTAGATACCTGACTGTGCGAGACCAGGGACATAGATAAAAGTTGAGCTCGGAAACGATTGCATGCCTAACCATGGCTTGTTCATCAAAACGGGTTCATATATATATATATATATATATATATATATATATATATATATTGGTAATAGACCATAATTTTTACAATATTCTATGAATTCTACCGAATGTTTGGCGTTAATATGTTTGTAGTACAAACATATTATATGTTTGGCGTTAATATGTTTGTACTACAAACATATAATATGTTTGTACTACAAACATATTAACGCCAAACATTTGTATATATAAATATATATATATATATATATATATATGTATATATAATTTTAGGATTTATAAACTTATAGAACACATCCATTTAATGTAAAAGGTTTGAAATAATTCAAAATTACGCTAAGTTTGGAGCCCCAAATTTTTTCTTGATCCGCCACTGCATTTCGCATTTAAGAACTTTTTCGTAAGTGACTTAACTCTACGCATCTGCTGCACTTCATTTTTATTGAAACTTTCTGTTATTGTTAGGCTAACAACGTTGTTTCGACATATTTGCCATCGTTATAGACTAGAAAGTACAAAATTTGAAGCTAAAAAATTTAAAGTCGAAGAAATAATAGTGAAACTACCGTGAAGTGTAATAACTATTTAATCTATTAAATTATTCATTTATTTTATTCCAATTTCTTTATATGTATAACCAGGAATTACAAAAAGATACATTTTTTATGCTGAATCCAAATTAACCTTCAGATTTTAGATTTGAAAATTTCAAGTTTGGTAAATTTTATGTTAAAATTTCAGCTAAAATGTTTATTTTCGTAATTTAGAATTTATTATAAAAATCATCGTAAAAAAACTAATTTTAATCAACGACAAATTTTATAATTTTATTAAATACTGAAATAGTATTAGCATTATATACAATGTCTATTCAATGTTCTATTCAATGTTATGTCAATTACAAAGTAGACAGTTTCACAGCTTACAGCAAGTGTCAATTATTTCCAAACTTTACAAGATTGTACATGTTCTTCTTGCTCGCATTTCTACTCATTAGTTGTCTGCTGACGATCTGTGATCTAATATTATCCATCCCTTCTTTCCTGACTGTAGACATGTTCACTTGCTTCTGTAACCATCTTGACACATCTCTCAATACTTTGAATGTGTGAGGGCCAGTCTGGGACTATCATTGGAGTGTGCAAAAATTGTTTGACTTGAGCCGTTGTTAAGCTACAAGTTAGAGGAGATTCATACATTTTAGAATCCCAATGAATGAGTTCAAGTAGGCTGCTGGCATCAGGATTGATTTCTGGTGTTACCCTTTGTTTTAAACTCATATCTCCCATCTGAACATTCTCATCTGCATTTCCTCTGATTTCAAGAATTTTCAATTCCAACTTTTCTTTCTTCCTCCCTGTCACTACAAATCAGTGTCTGGAAGACAGCTTCAGAGTGTGCATACCAGGCTGATCTGTCTGGAAGACAGCTTCAGAGTGTGCATACCAGGCTGATCTTCTTACCACAGGCATCACTTTCTGCATCACCTCTTTGTCTTGGTTTCTCAAAAGCTCAAGCTGAAAAAGAACATGTCTCGGACCATCAATCCAACTATGCTTTACTTTGATGTTAAACCAATTAGGCATATAAACTCCGACTATAAAGTCAACAATCAATTTCAAATTTCTAAGTGGCATATCTTTCAGACCATGATTGAAAGCCCATAATCTGCAACAGAGCTGTAGTCAACCATCTTGAGTGACAGACAGGTCCAATCTGTAAGTTCGCAAGCCTGTCAGGCGCAACACTAGATCTGATAGCATTAACAATCATGCATCCATAATACTGGTCTGTGCTGAGGTCATCACTAACCCTCCGTTTTAACTCAATCAATGGAGGACCAACAGTTATCCTGATAAAATTTGGATTTATTTCCAGGTCTATTGCATCATCAAGCATCTTACCAATTGGTCCTGACCATCGATTATTGATCAGTGTTTGACCATCCAATTTTTGAATAAGATGTCTCAGTGGTAATTCATTTGTGTGAAGATCACATACCAACCAAACAACCAAACCCTAACCAAACAAGATTTCTGCCAGTAGTTTTATTCTACAAATTAACGATTCTTTCCTGGATTGACAGCAAGATATTTAAACTCAGAATTTGCTTTGGTCCACTGATAAAAAAGGGCAGTCATAATTTGACACACCTTAATGTATATAGGCTATCGATTAAGTGACATTGTTAATTTTACATTGATAGCAAAGGGTTCGTCCACGTTTTTTCCTAATTAAATATATTTCAAAACAGATTTGGGATTTGTCAACTGCATTCGAACTGCTTGGCAAGAATGAAGGTTGGTTTAAACTGTTATAATGTTTGTCAATTATATTAAATTAACGTGTATTGATATATCCTTAGCTTATCCGTTATTTAAAAAACAGATGTGGTGAACTCGACGAATCCGTCAGAGTGTGATCTAGCGGGATTGACCAATCAGGAGCTTGTAAAGCTAGTGGGTCATTACGATATTACAAATTCAAGAACTCCCACCCCTGCCCCTACACCTCTCGTTGCATCACTTAGCAATCTCCATATCTCCAAGCATCAAACTGTGAATGCACCAGTTCCAGTCGAACTCACAAACGAAACAAACATTAGCGACATCAGTCACAACACATCAAGCAATGCCAAATGCACATGATTCTCGTCATAAACTTGTCTATTTTCTATTATTTTTCGCTTTTTTCAATTTTCGCTTTGTTGAATTTTGATCCAGATAAATATTTTTTCAAATAATTTTCCATTGACGTGCTAATTTGAAAAAATTAGAGCATTTATAAAGATTTATTTTCTTTTTGTGTTCAATTATCTTTAAATAAAACATAATAAGTGTAATCGATAGATGCGTGTAAACTAAAGTTTGTTGCACTATACACAAGCAAAACAATTCGTGTAAACAGCCAAATGTTTTATTTATTTAAATCCGCTCCTAAACATTTCTCGGAGGTTAATTTACCTGACCATACGATAAAAAATTTATTACATACCAAATGGTACAACCAGTACAGAAACCGACTAAAAGTGGCCTCAAGCCTGTGGTTTTTTTTATTTTAAATTTACATTTATAATGTAAGCTACATTTTCGTATAAGTTTCATTTCATTCATTTTGGATTTATTATAATAGTTATTGCTATAATGATCCAACCAACCAGCATTTTGATATGTTGCCAACGATGATTGATGATGTTCAAGTGATTAAAGTTGTCTTGTCTTTTTACGCAGTGGCCGAGTTAGAATACTAGTGTGATACATCGTTTCACATATGCTGTTTAGTGTTGTTGATTCCTTTAAATTTTGGAAGAGTATGACCATGACCAAGCCATGACCTTTTATCATTTAATTAATGTGAATAATTTTTATATTTTTCCATGTGCTTTTTTTATTTCAAGTTAGTATTCATCACAATAAATAAACAAATTAAACGCTTCATAAAAATCAAATATAAACCGATGTAAATATGCAAATCCTTAGCAAGTTGTATCAGTGATTCCCAACCGGTGAGTCGCGATTGGGGTCGCGAAGGGTTTATCAGGAGTCGAGGTTAATTTTAAAATTTAGGAAATAAAAATGGTTTCAATTAATTTCTTCTCACATCAAAGTTATTTGTGAAAAATTGTTTTCAATGTTGTACTTAAAAAATAAATTATATGCATTTATATTGTGCTATTATACACTTCTATTAATAAATTTTTTAAATAATATGTATAAGCTACTTATTAGAATTTTTTAATTAGCTTATCTAGGCTTTTTGGTTTGCTAAATCTTAAATTTAAATTTCATGGACCTTATTTTTAAACAGCAAATCGTTGTGTCGTATGTTTTCTCTGACGATCGTTTAAAAGACTGTTGTATTGCGTATTTTTGCTGTTTTTTTTCGTTTTTTAAAGTTGAATTCATTTTTGAAGCATACTTTGTTTTGAAAATTCAGTAAGTAAAAACTAGACAGGCACAAATACCAGTTATAAAAATTAACGATTAACATCATTTTTTTATTTCTGTTTCATATAAAATATTTTTTATTATATTTTAGAGGTAACTAACTTTTGAGAGATTATAGCATAATTATTTTGTATGTTAGCAAAATCATTGAATCGTTTGGCAAATTTCAATTTGTTTTTATACATGAAAAATGTTTTGTTGGGATTGAACTAATATGTAATTTCTGTTTTTTTTTGGCTAAATCAAATGAAATGGGGTCGCGAACTTCTCAGAAAATTAATTTGGGGTAACTACTTGAATAAGGTTGGGGAGCACTAAATTATAGACTGGAAATAATCTCATCAAAATACTTACTAAAATATTTGAAGTTTTAAAATGTTATTTTAATTAATGTTGTAGACGATCTAACCGAAGCATACGGCGAATTTCTAATGTTAATTATTTTGGCCATGATTTATGATTATTCCAAAAAATAGCTAACAAAATCAGATGAAATCTTGAATACAAAAAACTATAATAAAAACAACAACCCTTATAAAATATACAAAAATTCAGGCAACTGGATTAAACATTTTTGGCATACTTTGTAGAGTCAATGGCAGTATAAAAAGAAACATCTGAGCAATTCCAAATAACGCAATAACAAATTTGTAATCGAGTAGAAATGAACTAAATTATGTTTGATTGGTTTGATTGATTAGAGCGTTAAGCTGTGTATGTACACCAGTAAATGAATGTAAGGCGATAGTGTCCAGGCAATTCCAGATTAGAAGTCTCACTCGTTTGTGTGGCAGTTTTTTCTTTTTGTAACTCATCATGGTCATCAATGAACATGACCCCGTTGTACTTTCGGATTCATTTTCTGAATCACTTCCTATTGGCATTTTTAACATGTGGCTCAGTTGAAAATCTTCATTGCTGTGGTCTTGAGCATTGTCTTCGTTGCACATAACATTCAAAACTTGTCCATACTCCACTTTACTGCTGCTGTTTTGAGTGACATTAATTAATATCATTTCTCCGGATATCGATCCAGCCCAAAGTATACCGTTGCAACATTCAATTGATTTAATTCTATAATTTTTTATCACCTTTGAATTAGGTTTTTTCCTTTTTCCACGAAATAATCTTAATGATCTTTTGCGGCGAATTTTAGCAGATTTTTCTAACTCAAGAGTACTCTTATTAATGTTACATGATTGTATTATTTGATCTTTGTTACCTAATCCAGAAAGTCCTAACTCATCTTTTAAAGAATTTAGACTGAACAATGTGTCTGAATTTGATAGACTTCGAAGCAAATCATTCAAATTGAAATTGGTAATGGTTTCGCCGAAATTTGATAATGAGCAGTCAAAAAAACATATGATGTCAAATGTTTCAGAATCGATTTCAACTATAAAATTCTCAATGAGACACCAAATTTGTTCCCCGAACGAACAAATTGAACTGATGTTAAAATTAATATCTTCACATTCAGAAAATAAACTGATTTTTTGGTAAACTGAAATCTCTGATCTGGCCTTCTTTTCAAGGACGTAAATGGTCGTGCCACAGGCAACCCACAAATATTGTAGAGCGAAGTGAGCAGCGGTTAGACAAATATCATCAGATGAATCCTCTAAATAAAGAGAGTGCAAAAGGCAAATGTTCCATTCGATCTCATCAACTTCATACATTATTACTTCGTTAGTCTTTGAAATGACGTAGAACTCGCTGCAGTTTGGTGTCTGCGATTAATATTTATTTGATAATATATTAAAATGAAATGATATTACATAGTGTATTAGGTCCGGCTTTGTTTATTGTGTATGTGAATGACATGTTTGATATTGTGAAAGATAGTTCTCTTCAAATGTATTCGTATGATGATGATGCCAAAATGTTTAATTTTATAAGATGTGTGGATGATAGAATAGTGCTACAAAAACATCTTGATAAATTTTATGTTTGGTGTATCTTATGCAAAATCGATTTGAATATTTAAAAATGTGCAGCTATAAAATTTGGTCCTTTTTGTTTGGATAATAATTGTTAAAAGTTTTGTTCTTTTAGGAATGTTATACGGAAACTTTAAAAATTCAACTGAAGAGTCATTTATTTTGGTTTATAAATCTTTAATTAGGTCAAAGTTAGATTATGGTGTCAGTGTATGGTCCCCTTGGAAAGGGTTCAGAAACGGGCAACCAAGATAGTCAGACATTGCAAAGGCCTTTGTTACTCGGATTGATTAAAGTTTCTTGGCTTGCCAACTTTAAGATTTAGAAGAGTTCGTGGAGACACATTAGCGATTTTCAACATTGCGAAGGGTATGGTAGATAGAGATTTCTCACCAGCTTTGTGTTTTGATGCGGATCCACGTACCAGAGGGCATCGCTGTAGAATACATGTTCAAAAGTTCCATACAAATACAAGTATTTGTTTCTAACAGAGTGATCTCTATTTGGAACAAATTACAGACATGCGTGTTGAATCAGATACCGTTTCCAACTTCAAGAAGATATTTGAATATATATGGCCAACAAAGATTTTCTCTATGATCATAAAATTGACATTGTTGTTTGATTGCTTTTTGTTGTCTTTTAATGCTATTTTGATATGGGCATATATAACTTAAGTTTAAGCCCATTATTTATTTATATTTATATATTTATTTACAAATTATCGATAATTTGAAGGCTCTCGTTATTTATTAAAATATTGATGTACATACGTATATGCATTTCGTGTTTTGTAAACAATCAGGCCCAGAACTATGGGGCAATAAATTATCAGGAGCAGCAAAATTTGTTAGTGCTAATGCGGCCAATGTTACTATTAAAGCTCAAAACATTTTCGTAACTGAGCAGATTAATTTTTTTGCGATTTCAACTTCACACTTCTTAAAGTTCTTAAAAAATGTGCCACTAACATCAACATCTGAAAGCAAAACAAGATGGTCTGTGAGCTTAGATGCTGTCAAAGCTGTATATAAGCAACAGATTTGTTGGATTAGGATTGTAGTATATCTTCCCAGGTTAACCTATTTATTCCGACAGCAAAACATCATAAACGTTCGTAAAATATGAGGTTTTGTACGGTATGATATCAGTTACTCACTGCATATAGTTTTTACATAATAATTTGTTCTTTTCCGGCATTTTATATCGAGTATAACTGAACTAAGATGAAGAAATGTCGTGATTTGAATAATGATATGAAATTCAAATTCATGTTTGTGTGGAGAGATAAAATGAACCTGACTGTCGGCTACAATGGCTGTCGATTGCTTGGATGTTTCTATGCGATGTTTCTTTTCAACCGTGCCACACCAAACATTTATTTCTACTAATTCAATGCTCAACTCCTTTAAAAAATATATCTTAAAATCAAGCCATCTCAAATTAAATATTCCGTAAATATTTAGCAAATAAAAAACATCAACAAAGTAGGTAAATAAAATAGAATAAACAGAGTGATTAGATAAATATTACAAAGCAAATAACCTCGGTCAAAAGCACCAAAAGACCTCTCTTTAGCAAGCAAATATGTGTAACCTTCGATCCGGGGCAACAAATATTAACATTAACAAACTGGTTGGTATTAGCATTGTAGGTGTGGTAACATCTTCCAGTATCCTTACCCGTCCACATGTGCAGGTGACAGGTCTGTTAACGTGTTATCGTTTTAATTTATTTTATATACAAACTAGCAATTATATAATTATACAAATTGTGTGTAAAATCTCTATGTATTCTATCCTGATCTCCATTACCAATTAGACGTTTTAACGTACACATTTCAAATGTTAAAATAACTTTACAAAGATCGTTAGCACGTTAACAAATTTTTCATGCAACTATATAGAACGAATTATTAGAAAAACTTTTTCATTTAAAATTTTTATCAGTTATCAACCAACATGATGATCAAAGCAGACGGCATGAATCTCTCCAACTATGTGTGAGTCCTGCAAGTTAACGTCTTCCTTCAACAAGACAGTACTCGTTTCTTTCAACATGGATTCTAACTTGCCTGCAGTAGGTCTGTGAGCAGGCTCCTGGCTCCAACTTTTTTCAACAACTTTTTTCAGTTGAGGTGATAAATTAGATTTGATCTGTTTGTATCAAAATCATCAAATGTAATAAATGATACAAAGAAAACACAGCACGATATAAAAACACCTGCTAATTCTGAAGAACAACGTAAAGAGGTTTGATGCAAAATCAGAGGTTGAACATTTAAATTGATTTAAAAAATTCAGTTAGTCACAGAGCCACCTTTCTCAAACGTCAATTATATTGAATAAATGTATATTGAATAGTTTCAAGATTTTTGGATTCGCAAAAGTTTCGGTTTCTAAAAATCACTATAGTGTCCCAATTTTTTCATTATCATTTTACATTATATAATTAACAAAATCCAAAAACACAATTTTGAAAAAAAATTATTAAAATCTGTATGAATTAAATTGCCAATAATTATATTATTGAAAAACTTTACAAACAAATAAATCTCAACAACGATATATCAACCAATCTATCTTCGTTTAGCGTCCAGAGATCCAGTTTCCCGAGGTAGGACGTTGTTTTCTTTGCCATCAACTTTTTGCGCCAAATTAGACGATCAGTTGTATCCATTTCATTTAAATTTAGAGCTTTCATGTCTTGCTCGATTGTTTGCAACCAGGACTTCTTTGGACAGCTTTTGGGACGTGTGCCAAGTACTTCAACATCTGCAAGAAAAATAATGGCACTGTTTCCACTTCGTTTGACATGATCAAACCACCGCAGACGGTGTTGCCGACATTCGTCCTTTATATCATCTAAACCAGCACGACGCAGGATTTCGGTTGAATTGATGTGGTCCTTCAGACTAATTCGTTGCATTTTCATGTCAGTTCGTTGATGTTGTTCCAGTTTGGTTGTCATTGTCCATGTTTCTGCACCATATAAAAACACCGGATGTATCACAGATTTATAAAGTCTTGATCGTAGTGGTAGTGAGATCTCACGCCGCATCAATATAGAGGCTAGGAGATGCCATTTATTCCAGGCTGCACGTATGCGTACTCGAACGGCAGCTTCAGTCTTCAATCTTTGCGAGGTAATTCTCTTGCAGTTGACGAAGGATGTGAATGCATCAATTGTTGATTTCCCCGCTAGGAAACCAAATTGATAATTTCCGATTGTGATGTTAATCTTTTTTCTCTCAATGATTTTCTCGACAATTTTCAGGGAGTGTTCTAACAGACGTATACCCCGATATGATGAACAACAGTTCAATGGATCACCTTTGCCTTTGTATAGCGGGACTGTCATGCTATAGTTCCATTCAGTCGGCATTGAGCAATTTCTCCATATTTCACGGCAAAGTTGTAGTAACTTTTGGATACCTGCAGTACCAGATGCTTTGATGTCATTTGTGAGTTCAGAGGGCCCTGCTGCCTTTCCATCCTTCATAGCTTTTAGAGCTTCTGTAAGCTCCTCTACAGTGATGTCTGGAATCGGACCTTCGATGGGTGGAGCGTCAAAGTTGACTTTGATGGGATTTGTTTCATTTGACAGATGGTTGAAGTATTCTCTCCACCGTAGTTTGATCTCATCTTGTTCAAGAACCATCTCATTTTTGTCGTTTTTGATACATGAGGCACCAACTTTGTCTTTTTTCGTACGCTTTGCTTGTTTTGCTATACGATACAGAGATTTCATTTGTTCACCTTTGCTTTTAGTGAGCCACTCTCTGCACTGATCTATCCGAGCCAGTGCGACATGACGTCTTCCATAGTTGTTCTTCTCACGGAAAATTTTATGGTCATCAACAGACTTTGATTTTTGCCATTGCTTGTATGCAGTTTTCTTTTCAGCTATTGTATTTTGTACACTGTCATTCCACCACCAAGTGTCCCGTTCATGCTGACGTTTTGTACCAGATTTCCCATAAACTGTGGTTGCAGCGTTTATCAAAATGGTTTTGTATGTACTCAAATCTGTTGAAATTTTTCTCGATGAATATTGCTTTTCAGCTTCCACGTTTTGATTCTTTGAGGCATTTATATATAAATTATATAAATATATATAAAACATTATTCTAAGTTATTATAGTAGACGACAATTTATAAAAAAAAATATATATACATAACGTAAAAGTCAGAGTAATGAAAAATACATACGATCATACGTACACACTTACTTATTTAACCATATATATATGTAAATTATATTTCATATAATTATCTATGTATTTCTATTCTGTGCTTGTAAATTAGGTTTCATTACTTTGG